TAAAAGTTGTAGTTACCTTTGGTGTAACTCATGCTGGAAATAAGCAGAGTTGCTTTTATGCGTGGTCAGTTTGGGTCTCTAAGCTCAAATACAGAACGACTTCTGTTATTTTTGTCAAGAAAAACCCCAATGGTTTCCCCACGCGTTCCTCAAAGGCAATAGAGGGAAATTCGTGTCTTGACATTTCTTCATAAAGTTAATCAAAGCCTGGAGTTATTGACTGTTCAGCCACGGGAGTGCTTGGTTTGTGACTTCTGCAGTGCCAGTGCATGAGGGCACCGTCTACTGATAGCCCAGTATTTTCTGTCCAGCACTGCGACAGTGAGCAGCAGAGATTGCTACCATTTTAATAAGTGAGGAAAAAAAAAAATAAATCTGTTTTTGTGGCTTGTTTACTCACCGCGTGCAAAAGCACGTTGCAGGCAGGCAGGGTTTTACCCTCAAGACAAAAGTGTAATAAGGCCTACCAGAAGCTGGTGCTGCACGTAAATCACATTGAAGCGATTTCCAGAACTGCTTTTTTCTCCTCCTTTTCCATGTCCATCTACTAGTGTCTGTTGGACGCTGAAATGTCACGTACTTGCAGCTATACAGAAATGCAGGTGCTGCTTGATATCAGTACTGTTTGCAGAAGGAAATCCCGGTATGGTTCAGTTGCTGCTGAGGGCCGATACTGGCAGCGTCTGACACTGAGTTTTTGAGTGGATGGCTGAAGGCAAATTTGCCTGGAAGTTCTGTTGTTTTACAGAGAAATCAATTTTGAATCTCTTTAGCTTTGGACCAGGTGATAACTTACAGTATACAAATTGGTCACAAATACTGTATAGATGAAACATTTCAGGCAGGTTCTGTACTAGCAGCCCTGTCTCGTATTTGGTGCCTGAGCAAGACTTGGTGTTAGGAATTGAAGTGAAGCTATATGATTTTTACCTCCCAAACGAAGCACGGTAAAGGAAGCATTTCACTGACAGACTTGTCTCAGGCTGGGGAAAATGTAAACACAAAGTTTATTGGTGGCGTAGCTGGTTCAAGACAAGTCTTTTAAAAATACAGATCCTTTTTGCAGCTTTTGCATCTGTATTAGGTGTTGGATTTTGATCTGACTTTACAAGTGCAACATGGAGTGCAATAAAGGGTTACATCTCCCAATGACAACCCGTGCCTTCATAAGTTGTTTGATTTCACGCAGAATCAGTGGCTTTAGATGTCAGCTGCTATGACAAATCGAGCCTTTTTATCTGGTACTTTGAATTTTCAGTAAATTTTTGATACCCAATTCAAATAGTGACATTGAACAATGGAGCTCAGACTGTTTCTTCTGATTTTGGTGGCAAAACTCCCTTTCACTTAAGCAGAAGCAGGATCTGGGCCATAATGTGAAGTGCTTACATTGATTAGTATCCTTAATACAGTCACAATTTTTCTGACAATTTATACTGTTAATTTGATATTGATTCCTTTGCTGAGCAGCATTAACTGGTACTTGGAGCTAATTAAAATGTTAAAAACTTGGATCCCTTGAGATTCTTCTGATATAATTTAGTTCAGAAGTTTCTCACAAGCCTTTAGGATGACCTTTCTCAGGAGATGCAAGCACACTGGTAGCAGAAAATTCTGCCTCTAATGACTGCGAACTGTTTCTGGAAGTTAGGGTAAGGTACTGGATCGTGTTAACGGTGGGTGCAGTTGTGCGTGGGTGGTAGGGGCATACTGGAAGGGGCAAAGGGAAGGTCAGGAGCTAATAATTTGCCAGGCATCCAAAATTGCAAAATTTAATTCCTTGGCAGGGCTAGAGTTTCTTTTAAAGTATGCATGTACATTCAGAAGAGGACTATTTCAGTTTCTTGGCTGGAACATAGATTAGTTTGTGCAGAGGCAACACTCTTAAATAGAGACTCCATCTTAGTCTTCTAATGCTAAAACACATTATTTGTTATTATCATCTTTGTTTCCCTCACAGGTAATGAATACAGCTTTTCAGAGACCAATGTCAGCTTTTCACATTAGACTTTTTCAGATTGCTAGTTACACTGAGACTTTAAATGAACAGAAGATAGTTCTGTATTAGAAGGCTTTTTTTGTGTGTGTGTCATAATTCAGAATATTTTTACACAGCTAAATTCGTTGTTGAAGGCAGCAAGCCCATTTAATGATATTCTGCTCTGGCACTGAGTGGGAAAACTGTTATTTTAAACAAAGGGAAGAAGAGAACTTGGTCTTATTATCTTATGTATTATTATATATGAAATATTAATACTGTTTTCAGTGAGATGTGCTGAATGCCATAATCCGTAAACATAACTGGGATTATATTCCTCAAAACAATTATTTTAAGAGCTATAAATGAAAGTTACAACTATCACTTTTTTTTTTTTTTTTTTTCTGCCTAGGGCATTAAAGCAGAAGTGACTATTTCAGATGTGGTTATGAAGGCGTATATTACGTTTCCGCTAATTCAGATAAGGTTTGCCCAATACACCCCCCCCAACAATCTTCTTTGCTCACCCCTCTCAGTGGCCCCGGTGGGACATTGGTTAACCTAATAGTGTCTGACAGCTAAGTGGGGCAGTAGTTTATGGTGCATTGCTGTAGAGCTGGCATGCTCTGGACACCGTTGTGTACCCAGGGCAGCCTGGTTTAGTAGAATCCCGTACGCTTCCAAACCACTGTGGAGGGTTTCGATGGGTGTTTCAATATCTGCTTCTGTCTTGAATACTTAAGGAGGGTCGGTATTTATGTTTATGAACACAGGAGTGAGCTGGTTTCACCTTTGTGAAATGTACTATGCCAGGTGACTGTTCCAGGTACTTACTTCAACAGAGCTCCTCGATGACCGACCAGCTCTATCCGTCTTTCCGAATTCAGGTATCTGTTACCCTTATCGATATCCTGCAGTCACAAAATTAGTATGCTGACTTGAAAAACAAGTTTTACCCTCCAAATATTTAGGGTGCAGCACTCCACTTTAATAATCCTGAAATAGAAAACTGAAACACCCATGTGTATAGTAGAGGTGCCCGGTTTCACTATTGCTTAAGTAATTCCATATCTCTTCCCAGAATGTTATTTTGTAATTTCTTGTAGCACTATCTTGTGAAACAGACTTTTCTACATGAAGAGTACACTAGGGGGACTATTTTCCTCTTTGTCGAGCGTTATGGCAAGACTATGAATCTTGTCCTTTATACACAGATACCAGCAATTCCCAAATTTCAATGCAGCTGATTTGCTTTGATTTGTTTTTCATGTCAGAAGCGTATTTTGTTTTACACCTGTTGCATTCATCTTCCCCATGAAAGATAAACACTAGCTGCTGGGATATTAACTGTGAAGGGGGGAGATTTTTGTAAACTTCGTGCATGGACATTCTCTCATTCCTCACCTTGTTTTATTGGCCAGTATGTACCAAAGGGCTGCAGTCCCTTCAGTGTAGCAAATTCATGAGTCTCTTCTCTGATTATTGAGACTTGAAAAGGCTTGAGAAATTTGCCAGCAATGTAGACAGATGTCTAAATCTGTTAGCCAGATGCTGATACACGAGATGTGTCTGACTTTTTTTATCGTCTTTTTGCAAAGGATGTGAGAAGGAAGCAACACCAGTCTCTGTTCCTATTTCTCCTTTCTTGGTGTGCCACACGATATCTTTATCAGGAGTGGCAATGTAAAACATCAGTTTGTTTTTTTTTTTCTGCTGTCATTCTTAATTTTATTTTTAATTTAAAGATTCTGTTTCCCAGTTAACTGCAAGTAAGAATATTTTTCCAGCCTTCTATTATATTCTTACTTTTCTTTTTTTAAAATATATTTTTGAGCTGCCTTGTTCATCTGTACAGAAGGGTTTGGGTTACAAACCGTAGCCTGATTATTTAAAGTTTTGATCTACCAAAGAGAGCATAGGTTTAAGCATGTGAATGGATCCTTGGGACTTCACTGGGATTACTTGTGTGCTTAAACTTACTGCTTAAGCATCTTACCTGATCAAAGCCTTACTGTGTTGTGCTTTAACAAAATACGCAGTAACATCTGCAAGTGAATTTTGTGCTGAGCAATGAAGAGAGATGTGCGGTTCTAGCGGTTGAAACTGCTAGATAACAAGCTTCTTGCATCAAAGAGGAGTATACTTGAGTATCACAGCAACAAATAACTTTTTAAACTTTTCAGTAGAAACTATGTGTAGATATTAGTGCACATTATTATTTTATATCTGTAATGTACATCAAAGATCTCACTTTTCCCCAGCTTGTGCATGCAGGTGACAGCTATTAGAGCAGTACTCGAGAGACCTAGTAGCTCACCCAGAATCATTGACATTGTTTGATGCACAGTGTGACAGTGAGGAGCACCTCTGCTGAAGGACTTGTTAAATGCAGACTTAAACATGTTGCCTTGGTGAATGTCATCAGCTGCAGAGTCACAGGCTCTGGTAAACTTAACTTTTGACATGAATGGGAAACCTCCAGTCAACGATGCTGGATAGTATTGCTATCAGGTAGATCTGCTTGATAAATGCTGGAATCAATGTTCCTCAGTTCTTCAGAGACAGAAGGTTACCTAAAACAGTCATGCAACATTGACATTGTCTGTAATAGGTTTATTAGTGTCAATATTTGAGCATATTTAAAATAGGAAGCTTGAGAGTCAGAGGTTGGCTCTTACACTTACCTGTGTGTTTGAAAGTACACAGTTAATGCTAATAAAAATTAAATCACCTTAGTGGCATTTATATCCATTGTATTGTATTGGCTTGAACAAACACTGTCTGAGGCTATCAGGCTGTGGAGGAGAGATGTCCTGCCACTGCTGCCCTGGGACGTCCATTCTCTGCCCGGTTTTGTCCTGGTGAAGCAAGCAGTGTCTTACACGCGAGGCCATTTTGTATTCGGGTCATTTTGGTGGTGCTACGCTACTTTGCTGTAATCCTGGGAGATTAGGGGAGGCTGGGCACGTGCTGGTGCATTTAGAAAGGCGAGTGATTAGGGTTAGCTGGGTGGTTTTGTGAAAGCTCTTTGTGCTGGCGTGGACAAAGTAGAAACCCAGAGTTGGTGGTGTCCCTTGCAGAAAGCAGGCAGGACTGGGGCAGCCCCCACCACATCCCCCTGCGGTGGCTGGGTGGTTTTCAGCAAGCTTGCCTGGGGTAGATGGTGTGAACAAGTATGAAATCACCCCAGAAAATTACAATGGGTGTGCTGGGTTCAAAGGGAGGCCGAAGGGATTGCCTTGGAGATAAGGAAAAACTGAGGATAAACAGCCAGAGCATTTCTCTAGGTGGCAGCCTCCTAAAGGTGCCCTGCTAGATTTTGGCAGCCAGCTATTTTGCGTGGAAGTATGGAAAAATCTTTTGTGAGGATTGTTCTTTATTTGCAATGCAATTAAAGTGGGTCTCGGTGTAGTGGCGGCTTGCCAAGGGAGAAACTGTTTGAAAGTGTTTCCAAATGCAAGTTGCTACTTAGACTGAAGTCTCTGCATGTTCTTGTTTCTCTCCCACTTTTTTTAAAAACATTGTTACTATCTCTGTCACAGAAAACGTGCCCAAGGGCAGGGTTACAAAATGGCAATGTTCATTTGTTCTAAAGGCAGGAGGCCTTCCACATTTGGAGGCACTCTCTCTGGAGAAGGGCAAGATCTGAGCATTCTCCTGCTGCTGTTTCATTCCCCTTGCCACAGTAACCTGTGGCTTCCCACTCGGCTCTGAAAAGGGACTGTGGCCTGGCCAGGTCCTGGGACAGGAGGCACATCCAGGTCCTGCAGCACGTAGTGAGGATCCTGATAAAAGCCTGCCTGATAACATAGGGCTCGGGGAGCTGCAGGGTTTTGGGGGTTCTTGGTGGTGTTTTTTGTTGTTGTTGTTGTGGGTTGTTTGGGGTTTTTTGTGGCTTTTCTTGGGGCTGACAATACATGTGTAGTGCAGCAGTTCAGGAGCAAAATGAAGTGTTCAAGTAATATGCATAGTTATGCAGTTTTTGGTATTGCTGGCTCAGCACACCATGAGTTAAGTGAAAATTATACTTAACCTTTTATTTGCTCTTTTTTTTGTGTGTGTTTCTATAAACTTAGACTGTTCTGTTACAGTTTCCTGAGCACTGCCACACACTAAGCTTGGAAAATGAGGTGCATTTAGCCAATTTATGGCCTGACATATGTTAATTAACATTAATTACCTGCTTGAATAGTCCATTTAGCACTTATTATTAAAAAGTGGCTTGTCTACAGAAGGGGATTTTCCTTCAGAGTGAGATGTTTTGTTCTGACTTGCTTCAGATGAAGTCAGGATGGGGTATCCTGTGCTTCTGCATGGCTGTACCAGTTTCCTGATGTTCCTGTTGTGCTTGTGGGATATGATTGCACCACTGACAGGCACCAACTCCTTCCCCATGTGTATTTGACATTTATTTGACAACGGCTTAGCTTCCCAAGCAAACCATCATGTTTCCAAGCATTTTTTTGCTGGTGGTAGGTACAGCTCTTGCTTGTCCATTTGAGGCAGCAGAGAAAGAGCCATGCTTCTCAGCTTGCAAGGGACTGCAGGGACATCTGGAGCCCCGTGGTGATGTGACCCCAGCCCCTGTTTGGGGTGGAGGGGTGGGAGAAGCTCAGGTGTGCAAGGCTGGAGGGAGTTTTTAGGAGTTGCTGGGGCACACTGTGGTGCGCTGCA